GCGCGACAGGGGAACGAATCGGTTGTGCGGCTTCTCCTCCGGCGTGGGGCAGATGTGAATGCTCAGGGTGGCGTGTGCGGCAATGCACTACAAGCAGCTGCTTATCGCGGACACGAATCTGTTGTGCAGCTTCTCCTCGAGCGTGGGGCAGAGGCGAATGCGAAGGGTGGCCATTATGGAAATGCACTACAGGCAGCTAAAGCATTTGGTCATCAAACGATTGTGCAGCTTCTCATCACACATGGGGCGGATCCCGATGCTGAGGTTTCGGCGGTTGGTAAAAGCCGCGTAGTTAGCTAACTTAGGAGCCTTCCACTTTTTCTGCCACCCGATCATTCCAGTCTTGGATCGGCCACCTATTCTTGCAGTTTTTGCCCTACCCATCCTGAGTTTTCTCGCTCCCCTATTACCCGTATTCCACATAACCACCAGAAAAAAAAATATACCCAACTCCTACCTAGACACCGCATTCTGGGAAATCTGCCGATACAAGCCTACCACCATACTCCATTACTCACACTGAACCAACTACTCATTTCTGGAATCATATCTAGCCTCCCACCACCACCTAATCCAGAAGACTTCTGCGGCTTTCTCCTAAAATTCAAATCATTCTACCATGGGTTCACTTCAATATTCAAGCACAGCCGTATCTGCAAATCTCCGTTCACATCCCTCCCCTCCAAAATTATTCTCCCTAGATTTCATGTATCCTGCACCTAGTCCAAAACCTCAAACACAGTCCCTCGTTTAATTTTACAGAAGTTGTCCGTGCATCTTGGGTGTCCTAATTTAACTTACCATACTAATTGAGCCTTTTTCAAGCCAACTCCTTTATTCTTAGTGTTACCAGTTTTGTGATAGAGATTGGAAACATCGTTGATTATATGCTATCGAGTTTGGGGATTTATTTATACTTATTATCCATTTTTGCATTTTCCTATCTATCTTTTTTTCTCTCCCTTTTGTTCTCGGTCCAAGCGGAATAAGGTCGCGATTGTGGGCTCGCTGTGGTCTGTTATGATGAAGGAAAAAGTGTCTTCTTCGTTCTTAGTAGATGGATAGTTTATGGTCTTATTTTCTCTCCTCTTAGTTTTGCTTGTCCTCCATGTGTATCACTCTACCGGTACCTAATTAATACATTAGCCGTTGGAGCTAGCCCTGAAAATACAACAGTGCATAGGGTTTTTCATTGTGGTACAGTGCAAATCTTCCTTCATGTCAAATTTGACAACGTGTATGAATTGATCTTGAGAAAACCTCGTAGTTGGTCAACCAGGATTCAAAATGAGTGGGGCCCGACCCGACCTAAGGCGCCAAAAGTTCAGCCCGGAAAGACCGAATCCAAGGAACCACAATGTGGGCTAACCACGCGGTTCATTTCGTTTGCATGCGGACCGGGCTGGGTGAACCCGATATGTGACGGGATAAAGTGAGTCGTATGGAGGATAACCCCCTTGTTTTGTCTCCTGGATAGTATAGAAGCAAGGAGGATTGGTATCCGATCGGCAGCTCAGAAATGAGTTGAGGGGGATGAATAGTGGAAGTTTAATCTCTTTCTGATCCTGGAAATTCCATCTATAGCACCCCCCCATAACCTCCTTCCTTACCTGCCGGTCTTCAATAGGATTTTGAATTGAGTATAGGGACTGTATCTTGGGCCCCGATTCCGACAATTGCCCCTGTTTTGGACGAGCCGCGGGGCTTTTAGTGCAGAGGACCTAGGGCTCTTTCGTGAGCACTATATAAGCTATCAGTGCCTGTAAAGCATTAGGGTTGAAAGCTTAATAATCATAATTTGATTGTTTTCTCAATTAAAGACTTAGGGGGACAGACCACAGCCAGTATGCACCAGAAGACTTGGGCCGTCCCCATGGCTGCGGAACGAGACACCCCCACCTTCAGTCCCCAGCTGGGTCCGCGTTCATGATAATAAAAGATTTGGGTTCAACCCATGCCCTCTGTCTAACAAGGGTCCGGGGGACCCATATAGTCAGATTCATGAAGCGGGAAATCCGGAAGTGAGTTCCAGGCCGGTAAGCTTCACGGCGGACTTGAGGAAGCACATGCTCGTCAGAAAAAAAGATCACAGCTGCTGTTGATCAATCGGATTTCTCGATAGTTGATCTCATATAATTCATTTACCCTACTATCCGTGACTAGGAATGGAGCTAGTAGCGGTTTAAGAATGAAAGAAAGCGGGAATTCTAGAGTGCCGGCCTGCCAGGTGGAAGGAAATTTGCTTTAGGCTAGTTTTAGATATTGAACTTTGGAAAGACTAGGAGAAAGCAAGAGAGCTAATCCGTGGTAAACTAGCTACTACCCGATGGCCTTCCTGATGAGCATGCAATGAGTGACTCTTCATAATGGACATCAGTGCTGTGATAATTCATTTACTGTTTCCATCAAAAGGGTGGTTCCCAATGTAGCATTAAAGAACCTGCTTCAAGCCCGTCATAGCAGTGTGTGGATCTTGGACACACTAGCTGATATCTCAGTCGAGTGACCAATGCGGAGGCTAGTGATTTTAGTGTGCAGTAGTTAGGGCGCCACTTCTTTGCATAGGGCGCAAGGTCGGTCTTGCCTAGATGAAGTAGGGTGTGGGCTCAACTAGTCCAGTAGACCCCCCACTAGCGGTGGTGCGTTTCATACGGTGATTGCTGTCCCAATGAGAACGATTGTGCCTACCTGAGAGAACCGAAAGGTATATTCTTCCGTGGATGAAAGCTGATGCGAATGGTTTAATTTAGAGCGGGTTCGCGGGAGTGCCCCGCAAGCTTCCGCACCAAAAGTAGTCTTGTAATAATATCAGTCGTTGTGGATCTTTCCCATAAACTCCTTACTCCGGCCCCACCTAATCAAGAGCCTTCGTCCTACTTCATCCTTGTATCTTTCCTTACCAAACCATCAAACCCGAGACATGAATTCCTCCTCCGATACTCGGAGTCTTCACCATATTACTCCATCTTCCCTACTCCTAATTTCCAAGTTCACGAGTCCGACGGACTGAGGTTCAACAAAAACTCCACTGATTCCCGACTACTGATCCGGAGTATAAAGGGCTAAATCTCCCCGGCGCCCGTGCCCGCGGGGCAAGGGCAAACCCCTATAACTCACCACAAAAGTGCTCACAGGCACTAATCAGACACTATTTTATCCCATATTATTGCTGTTCCCCATCTTGTAGGACAATCAGACAAAACAAACAGTATCCAAATCTCCTATATCTAGACGGCCACCAAGAACCCACCGGAGGTAGCTGATCCCGGGGATTGCGCCCACCAACTCCATTACCATCAGTCTCCTATAAAAACCCCCCAAAGTTCCAATAGAATTCAGTCAAGCTCTCACCACCTGGGATAATTGGCAAATGTTGCTTAACATGGCTCCACCGAGAATACGACCGTTCACACAAAATATTTGCCCCATCTAAAGCATGGCCGCCCGACCATTTCACAACGAGACTTGTCTATATTAGTACATCCTAAGCATATCTAGTCATGAATCTCGGCCTTTTAACTAACGTACCCGATGGGGAAGCGGGACACGATAGGGAAGCGGGACAGGACAACCCAGTTATAAAAGTAGCAGCAACTTCATCAGTTCTGAACCAAATTAAATAAAACAAAATGTAATAAATGCTCAAAGAGTATGAGAAGGTATCTGATAGTAGAGATTAGTAAAAAAATAAAAGCAATACTAAATTAAATCCATAAAAGGTGAAAAATGACACAATAAAGGTAATGTAAGAAAAGGGGAAAAACAAAGACTTTGGATTACATGAAGCCATCCAGAAGGGGTGGCTGATAGCCCTCAATTAGTAGTAGTACTAGCGGGGGTGGTATTTAGACTTGGTAAAGTTGATAATATAGTAGAGTAAGTAAGGTAGAGTAAAATTTGGTTGAATTATAGCTACTAGTAATAGTAATACTTTTAGGAGAGAATAAGAACAAGGTAAGATAAGTAGTCAGTAAGATGGAGTTGGCTCAAGTTCTGTATTCTTCTGGAATTCAGATGGGTATAATTTTAGTGTTTCCTGCTTGAATTTATGTAGTTTTACTAGTATTTATTTTATTGGATTTGTAATCGGAACTGGAGGTCAGTCTCTTCAGTTCAG